TACGCTTCCTACGTGGACTGTCTAGCTGAACAAGTTCTGCCACCTTCCTTCTCCCATCCTGAAAACCAACCCCTGGGCACTCCTTTTCCTGATCATGCCCGTTCGTTCATCAACAGCTCATTATTTCTACTAAGTCTCATGTTGAAGATGCCTTCTTTACTTTCTGTCACGTCAAGTGTCTCTTGCGGCTCTTACCGTGGATCTCGGTTACCTTCTCTTACCATTGCCTTTGACACTGCTCGCCTGAATACACAAATTCATTCTTATAAACTACAGAATAAACTTCAACGTCTCATCTCAGCTAGCCTTATTGTGGTCTAATTCTCCTCACTGACTGTGTTACTAATTGTCTTTCTGTCTCACTCTCTCAGTTGAGCTTGAACTTCTGGTTTTGGGCTTTTCCTTTGCCACTTCGCCTACTCCTCGCGCTGGTATTCGCCCTGATTAGCTCTTTGATTCATTTCGTCAATGTCGCTTCCGTAATCTTCTGCACTTGTCACTTGTCCGTGGTGCTTCCATCATGCTCTTTGTTAGGTCTGTTTTCTAAGAATCACCACCTTCCACGCCGTTACCAACTTGCTCTTTTGCTCTTAAATCCACACTAACATTTTCACATACTATCCTTCTGACAAAGGTAATTCGGTAGTCATCCTTGAATCGAGAGGAAAGCTCGTAAAAGCTGATGTCTTGCCTCTATGACTCCACGTACTACACTCCTCTTTGTTTCCAACCTCTTGATCGATCAAGAGAACTTTCAACAAGAAACTAAGGACTCTCTCGACTCTGTCTCCTGACTTTGACTTGTTCAACGGTTTCGTGTCATCTGTCCCTCTCTTCCCTATTTCTATGGCCCTTTCCCCAAAACTATAAACCTGTATTCCTCTCGTCCTTTTTCCCCTTAGAGGTTCTGTCTCTTATTCTCTTGTTTTTGGTTTTGGCCAAACCCTCATCCCTTTTTTGGGTACTTTTCCTCTGCCCCCCTCCGTCCTCTAAAGATTCATTAACGGGTTCGCCTCCCCCCCAACCCCTGTAAGATGCTTAGTCTTGATTTTGAGCCCCTCTTCACAATTTGCCCCTCTTGATGATGCCCTTGTTTTCCCTTAGGAAAAGGGGCCCTTGAAGTGTTTTACATCTCCCTATACCTATTGAAGTCTTTTTGATTTACCGCCTCTGTTGGACTTAATTCCTTTTCTTCCCTAGGGAAATATTATTCAAACCTTCGGTTTCCTATGGGCTTCCTCTCTCTCCTGCCCTTTTTCTAATCTTTACATGGAATATTCGAGTGTTTTTTTCCCTACCATCGATGTGCAAATTCATTTTGGCCCGCTAGTGGATGACATCTTTGCCTGGGGCCTCATGACTCCAGTTCTTCCAACCTTTTCTTGAAGCTCTTAAAATTTTCCCCCTTCCCATTAAGTTTAAAGCTGAAGGGGAAATCTAATTCCTTGCTTCCTTTCCTTGATGTCCATGTCCCCCGCTCAGATACGGGTTTTTTTCCTTTTCCTTTTTACCGAAAACCTATGACAGGGCAAAGTACTTCACTACTTTTCCTACATGCTTCCCACTGTTAAGGTAAGTGTTCTTGTCTCCTCTTTTCCGTCCCCTCCGCCATCTGTGACCCTCAGTTCCCCAATCCAGAAAAATTTTCCATCTTCGAATTTTTTCCCGTCTTGGCTCCCCTTCCCTTTTTATAGACTCTCCCCTCTCACGTGCAAAACGTAATTTCTTCTCCCCCAAACCTTTTACCCTGGGAACTCTTCTGTCCCTGTCTTCCCTCATTTCCGGTCTTTAATCTAAACAATTCTTCCGCCCCTTAGCTCAAAACTTACTTTCCCCCAGACAAAACACTCTTCGCACTTTTTGTTCATACCTTCCTCCCTTACAGATGTTCCTGGGTCAAATCTTTTTCTTGCCCCTCCTGTCCTCTTCAATCTTTGGAAAAAATGGTCGATCTCTTTCGACAGATTTAGGGAGCAAAAAAATAGTGTTAGGCTTCCCGACATAAAAATGCTTTTTTCTGTCACGTCAAAAGATCACAGCCATCTATTGATGGTTTCTGCTAAACTGTCCTTCCCTTTTCCCAACTTTAACAGTCGCCGTCTAGTTGAATCCCCCTAATAACAACTTTCCTTGTATGAATCTTAGTTTTGGCTTCGTCTCTGTAGATGCCTTCCTCTCCCACTTTTTAAAAAATGCCCCAAAACTTCAGAACCCCCCGTGACTTACCCTGATTCCCCTTTTTTCTTTTTCTCCCTTTCCCCTTTTCATTTTTCCCTTTTTTTTTTCTGGGGTTCTCTTTCTTTTTTCTGTCTTGTGTTTTCTGTTCCTTCATTATTTTTTTCATCACTTCCCCTTCCCCCCCCCTCTGTGTACTTGCTTCCCTCGTGGGACCTAGCCCCCTTGCAGTGCTCCCTTCTTTTTATTTGACTGTGCTCCTCCTTTATTCCCCATATACTCCCACCACCCCCTTTTCCCTGCCTTATATAAACTTTTCCTGCTCCACTTTCGTTAGTGTGACTTTGTAAATGGTCCAAGTGGGACCGAACGTCGTCGTAAGCTCCTTTTCTATGTGCGGGTTATTTGTGTATCGTTCCGTCAGGGTATTGTCCCTTTTTTGTTACCTCCCCAATACTTGCTTTTTTGTTGCCTCTCTTTCAGGTTTTCTGACCCATTGCAGTGTTTTTCCTAATAAAACAAAAAAAAAAAGGACAATACCGTGACTGGAACGATACACAAAAAACCCGCAATAAAAGGGAAGCTTCGACGACGTTTGGTCCGACTTGAACCCTTTTCAAAGTCGGACGAAACGTCGTGTAAGCTTTCTTCTTTTATGTGGGGTTTTTTGTTTAATGCCCCTTTCTGTTAATGGCCCGATCCTCCCCGGATCCTCACTAATTCTTGTGGGAACTATGTCGAAAACCTTTTGCAGTTTAAAGAAAAAGCAATCTACCCCCCGCCCCTCTCCGTCTGTCTTTCTTCCCTTTTCATAAAACTACAGTAGGTTTTTGCACAGGTTTCCCTTCCAAAAACCCTTTGGTTTTAGTGTACAGGTTGTTTCTTTTCGGTTTCCACCGATTCTCCTAATAATATGATTTTGCTTCTATGCCGCCAGTGACACTGGTGGTGTTTAATGCCACGTGTTTGGTCAAAAAAGGGATCATTTGCTGTCTTTCACACCCGTTTGTTACCCCGGGTTTTGATGGATGTGTTTCGATGGATGTGGAACACACACCGCCTCGCTCCCCCCCGGGCCTTTGGGAGAGCTGGTCCCCCAGCCTTTGAGAACCCAGTTTACTTATGTTTAGCCTTGTTTGTATACCCAAAAATATTCCAGATTTCAGGAGTCCTTTTTGTCTCTACTGAAAATACTTCCTTAAACCTCATGCTGAGCTCTTTACATGTTCTCAGTTGTTGCTTGTGTCTCCGTTCCCCCTTTTTCAGCCCGGCCCCTTTATTGTTTTTTCCCTCCTTAATCGCTGTACAAAAACTTTGGGTCAGACTTGCAATGTCCCTTTTTTTATTATCGTGGGCCTTTTCCCTTTTCTGTGAAAGTGTGTGTGTGTGTGTGTGGGTGTGTGGGGGGTGTGTGTGTGTGTGTGTGTGTGTGTGTGTGGGGTGTTGTGTGTATACCTAATTGTACTCCCTAATTGTGGGTTGAGGGGTCGAGACTCAGTCTGGGGCCCCCCCTCTTCACTGATCGGTATGGGTCCTCTCTTCTCTGCTTCCTAGCTTTGTCATACCCTTCTTTAAAAAAAATGTTGGTTCCCGTTCCACTCTTCATTGCTAGGCTATTCCACTTGTGAAATCTATGATGAAGAAATACTTCCTAAGTCCCTGTGACTCGTTGGTCTTCAGTTTTCCCGTTGTGACCCTTTCCCCGTGTCCCCCCTCTGGAAAACCCATCTCTGTCCCCCTTGTCATTCCCGCAGTATTTGTATGTGTTATCATGTTCCCCTTACCCCCCTGTCCCTAGTGTCGTCGTCGTTTCCTTATCCTTTCCTCGTACGACATTCCCTTGAGCCTTTTGGGGCTAGCCTTGTTGCAAACCTTTGTACTTTCTCTAATTCTTGTGTGCTTTACCGGTGTGGGTTCCAGACTGGGGCTGCATACTCCCCTTGGGCCCCAAATACACAGTGTACAGTGTCTTGAAAAGATTCCTTATTAGGTTCGGAAAGCTATTCTCGGTTTGCCAGGCGCCCGTGTGATGCAGCAGTTTTTTGGTTTATGTGTGCCCCCGGTGATGTGCCGGGGTTTGGTCACCCCAAGGTCTTTCCCCTGGGTGAGGGTTTTTAATCTTTGTAAAACCTAGCCTATACTCTGTCTTTTGGGCTTCTTTGCCCCTCCCCAATCTTCATGATTTTGCATTTGGCTGGATTGAAATTTGGAAGCCAGTTACTGGACCACATGTCCAGCCCGTCCAGGTCTCTTTGCAGTCCTGCCTATCCTCTCCGATTTATTCTTCTCTCAACTTCACTATTTCGAACAGGGGCACTTCAGGTTATTCCTTTCATGTCGTTCACATATATCAAAAATAACATGGCGTGGAACTGACCCCCTTGGGGCCCCGTCGTAAAGGCGCCCCACGTGGTCCCCTTCACGTACCATGATGTTGCTGCTCCCTGTTTTGGTATTCCCCTTTTCCCTTGCAGGCCCCTTTTACATGAGCCGATCCCCCAGTTCTGCCTAATCTTTGTGGGGAACTGTGTCAAAAAGGGCCTTCCCGCAGTCTAAGAAAACGCAATCTCCCACCCCCCTCTCTGTGTTTATTCTGTTTCCTTGTAAAAACTCCAGGAGGTTTTGATACAGATTTTCCCTTTCCCTGAACCCATGCTGGTTTTTTATTTTTAATCTTGTCCTTTCCCGGTGTTCGACCACTCTCCCCCTAATGTGTTGGTATGTGTTTGTGTGTGTGTGTGTGTTTGTGTGTGTGTGTGTGTGTGTTGTGTGTGTGTGTGTTGGTGTGTGTGTTTGTTGTGTGTGTGTGTTAATGAATGACTTAC